TTAAGAGAACAGTAGATTATGATGACTGGCAATTAAGTACTCTTTCTTAAAGCCTTTGGGGGGGGGGAGCTTACAAAGAAATTTCTCGCTATCCTTTTGTTTCTTGCTGTCATAATAGCTCTTTGTAGACTTGTGTAGGCTTTGTACTAGTGCACAAAAAAAAAGACAACAGGATTGTGAATAAAGCAACTGCTGAAATTTTCCTGGAAAAAGGATTCAAGGGTCATTGTTTACTATGGTGTCGCAAATTTTCCATGAAATTTCCATGAGTTTTCCAGAATTTACCAGCTTAAGCAAGAAACTACTTCTCTACTCTGCTGCTGATGGAAAAATTAACTTTTTTTGAGCCTTGTTGATTCATGTTACATTTCAGTGTACTTTTGTCCTTTAACTCCCTATAGTTTCAAGTAACATGCTAGGATTATTAAAACTGATGGATTTTTTTTCTGAGGAAAAGTTTTTCTTATTCCCTCCTCCCCAATACTTACTAGTTTATATGTGATTGGTGGTTTTAATTATTGTAATTGCTTCACTTAGGACTCAGTTCTGCACATTCCTGTGTATGTTACCTGTTTGTCAGTGCTTGCCTGAGGGTAGTCACATGTGTTCAAGGTGTTCATAGAGCTGAGATCTTTGTTTTCATTTTACCTTTAAATAAGGGAGAGATGTAATTTATTTTCCCACAGAACAGCAGTGGAAGGTTCAGGTCCCTATCCTCTGTTGCCCTTAGGAGTCAGAGTGGCTCACCTGTCTCTGAGGAATTCAGCATATGCTCAGAGAGAGATTTCTGTTGTTCTATACTGACTGTAAAACAACAACAACCAAAAAACCCCACCTAATTCAGGGAGTCTGCACTAATCTGTTCAGTGAGCTTGGCTATTAGGATGTCGTAGCCCTTGTCTTGAAATGGTGGGAGGGTTTCAGGAAACCTGGTTAGTTCCTGTGGCCTAATTCTTGTGGACAGTGAAGCCTGAGCTAAAACCCCTTAAAATGGATGAAACACCTCCCAGTGAGTTTAGTGGGTTTTGCTCAGCGAAGTCCTGCTGGTGTATTTGGGCAGGATCATTGTGGCTATGCTGCTGTATACTAGTAATGTATGAATTTGTGCTCCCATCATGAGAAAGGGCCTGGAGAAAGCTGTGCTCACAGGAACCAGTGGCTCTCTGTTGCTGCTCATCTTTGCTCTTTCTTTATGGGATAGGCATGATGGCAACAGCTACTTGTATCCAGGAGTAAACAGATTGGGAATACCTCATCTGGCCAGCACCTTTTCTGCATATGCCAGTGCTAATGCAGAGGAAGTCTGCCACATCTGCTGCATGGATGTGTGCTTCTCTTCAGTGCTGTGCTTCAAATTCAGAAGAGTAATGCAGGTAGCACAGATCAATGTCAGATACCAAGCCACAGTACTTTGCATGCATTGTGGCTGCATTGTGGGAATTGGTTCTCCCATTCTTTTCCCCTGAATTGTTGTTCCTTTGCTACCACAGACACAGTTCCAGTGGCATAGCCAGTCACACAGGCTGCCCCATTGGCATGAAACTATCTTTTCCCCTCTTCGGCATCCCACACCTTTTATTGCTTAGGGAGTGATGTATACTGTGGTAATTACAGTTCACATTGAGGAACATATGCTGAATCTAAATATGTTAATGTTTCTCATGTTTGCCTCTTGGTCCTTTTGGAATGGCTTCTTCTTGGAAAACTCTTGAGCATAGTGTTATCAAAAGGCATATAAAACAGCATCAGTGATGTCAAGGGCATTTGTTTCAGGCAGTCCTGATACAGAGATATCTGAATTTTCCCTGAATATATGTGAATAGCATACACTGATTGGGAATCTAGAAGAAATGAAGGCTTGGAAAAACCCAAGCAGAGCAAAAGATCAAGGAAAAATGAGCAGGAATCTAGAAGAAACAGGGACTGAGAGAGATATGGACTGTAAATACAGATGGGCAGTGGTAGTGGTCCTCTTTGCCATTGCAGCATAAAGCAGTAATTTGAAAAGCACATAATACCATTGCTAACAAAGAGGAAGAAGTGTTGCTTTAGAAATAGAAGTGAGAAAGATTCCTCCCACAGCAGGCACACAAAGTTTTCATCTTCCCACTCACACCACTGCTGCAACAGCATGCAGCCCTGTGTGCATCCTGGCAATTTGCATCCTGGGTTGAGTGAGCTGGGAGACTGGAAGTTGCAGTAGAGGAAAGTGCAACTGCTGACCCCCTGCCAATGGCAGCAGTCCTCAGAGGATGGATCTGGAAGAGATCCTTTCCCTCCTAGCTTGAGCCTCATGCTTTTCCTGTCTTGAGGGAGGGAAAAAGGTTTGTGAAGAGATTATTTAAAATAGTGAAAAAATATAATAAAAATTGTCAGTGTCTGCTTATTGGATGAGTAGCTTAAACATACTTATCCAAGGCAGCTGTAACCTAAGCAGCCAAAGTCCACTTGAGCTGGGGCTGAATTTGGCCTATTGTCTCTCCTTCACACCCACAGTACAAATAAAAGCTTCTGCTTCTTAGGGTTAGGTGGGAGGGAGGAGGCAGGAAAGCCATCGGAGTGTGGTGCTGCATTGACAGTTGATGTGCATTCCTTGAAAATCTGAGCTTCTCCTCACTTCTGGATGTAGCAGTATGACAAGTCATGGGAGACAGGGTGCAGTTTGTTAGGAGTGGGATATTATGATGAATATAGGACCTTATGGGAGAGTTGTGGAACAATACTGACTTCTGATTAAGGGATAGGGGAAGGAAGCAATGTTACCCTGAAAATGGGCCTAGAATCTTCAAAAACTAAATCTTTGGCAGGAGTTACATTCAAAGGGGTCATTTTAATTCGGCACGATGTTTACTTTCAACTGTTCTTTAAATAACTTGGGGCTGTGTCCCTCTGGAGTAGAAACAGCAGAGTAGGCTGAAGGGCTTCTGCTATCAATTAAATCTGGCAAATAGACTACACAAAAGTAATTTATCTTTGCTACTTGAGTAACAATATTTACATTTCACTTTCCGCCAGAAGGAGGCTATGGACATCTGTAAGTGGTGTACAAGAGTCTCACTCATCCTCGCTGAACAACAGCTAGCTGTGTGATAGAGCCAAGTTGCTGTTTAGCGCTGCAAGGTTTCAGTTTGGAACGAGTTAAGGCCAATAATATAGACTATGAAATCAAAAAAATATAGACTATGAAAAGGTCATTTAAACCTGCAGAAGGTTATTTATGAAACTGGATTTTAGCTAGTGCAAGTAACATCTGTGGAGTTGCAGTAAGTGCAATTGGGTCTTCATGATTCTCAAACATCCAAGACTTTCTTTGGATGTTTCCTCTCACTGCCACACTATGTTTTCAAAAGTATTACTGCTGCATGGGACACTTATATCAGACTGAGTGTGACTTCATTTCAGATTGAACTGTGTTCAAAACCAAAATAAGTTAAATAGGAAGAAGCAATCTTATCTCAGAATAAGTATGCTTATATGGTGATTATATTGTTATGTCAGTTCAATTTCCAGCGTAACTTAAAACTTTCTTTTGAAGACAAATCCTTAAAAGAAAGATCACTTGCATCTGCAAGTTCACATATCCTCTTGATGTGTTCTAAGATAGCTACAGGGTTTTGCCCCCACATGGTGACCAACGTTGCTAGAGGATGCCTTGCAAGAAATGCGGTATAAGTGAACAAGTTTGGAGAAGGATGGCCAGGTCAGTGTGTGATTTGGAGAGCTACATTTTGCCTGTATATCGTTGCCTGCAATTTCCCTTTTAGTATTTTTCACTTCTGTATCAGTATAGCGTAGAAGACAATAAAAATCAGGTATCCTAAGCACCTAAATCATCAGATCAATATTCCTGCTTGAGATGACATGGTTGTTTTGACAGTGGATTTTCCAGGTGTTGAGCAGTGACCTAAACTTGTTTTTGGTGAAATCAATGCCTCCCATTGATTTTGGTGATTCCCAGTTAGGCCATTGATAAGCACTTCTGTAAATGCAGACTAATTCCCAACTATACTTGAGCTCAGCAAAAAACCCTCAGTGCTATATTGTCATGCACAAATATTGTGCAGCTTCATTTTTTTTCTCCAGCAGGATATTTGTTCTAGTGACAGAAGAAATGAGCCTGCTATCCTAGTTTGTAAAGCACTTTGGGATCCCTCAGTGTAATAAGAACACCAGTAAGCTGTGGTTCTCTCCCACCAGAGCTTGAGACTTTTTCACTTTCTGCCTTCCCGCCTCCTTTTCTGCCTTTTGCAAGAGGGCACTCAGCTGCTGCGTGTGAGCAGCTGTTCTGTTTCCCTGTTGGCCTGCAGCCATATCCACGCAGCTGTGCTGTGCCGCAGCCTAAGGTGGCCAGAGCAATGCCCAGCTTTGTTAAAAAGTAACAAGATTGGGAAAGAGGGGAGGAAGCAGGAAAATCTGTGACCTGGAGGAGTAGGTTCAACAGCACATTATCAATGGGTGCTAAGGGACCTGGGCAACTTCCGTGTCCAACTAGAGATACGTTTTCTAGGCATCTGTCACAGTAAGACTCACCTGCTGACTCGGAGAAAGCCGTTAATCACAAGGTGTTGCTGAAGTTCTCTGGGAAAGGAAGTACTGCTGACAGTGACAAACAGCTCGTGTTCATGTCTCATAGAAACTTAAATGTACGTAAGTGTTTGTTCAGCATCTGCTCTCCGCATACTGCATGACTCAGACGCAGAGAGGGTCAGGGGTGGCTAAGAACAGGCCAGTGACGTGCAGTATGACTTTTTTTTTTTTAATTTCTTGGAGGCAGCTTTCTTGTGGATAGTAGGGTATTATATTGGAAGTATTTGTCAATTCTTGGTTTTATGTGCATGTTTTTCCAACAATGATCATAGTGTCTGTTTTGTGGTTCCACTTTTGAGCACTTACAAATTAGTGAGGAACGATTCAATGTGCATGAAGCTATGTGGTAGGTTTGTGGCATGTCAGGATTTCAGCTTGTGCCCAACTTAATATTTCTTTTCTTTGTATTCCAGAAAAAGGCATGGCATACAATTAAAACCATGGTTAACTTACCAGTCATCAGCCCTTTCAAGAAACGCTACTCATGGGTGCAGCTGGCTGGGCATACAGGTGAGATGGATATCTTCAATGTGTTTGTCTCTGGAGAGGGGATGGCAGCAGCAAGGAAAACACTGTTTCAGTGTTTCTTTATTTCCTTCCTTTAAGTTAAAAGGAAGCAGGCAACATCACCTAAATCTGTGAACTAGAACGTCTGTCTTTCAGTTGTGGCAGGGATAGGGAACGGGGAGTGATATACCTGAACAATGAGATAAGCAAGGAAGTAGGTTTGCTTCTCTTGTGCTTCATTTAATTCCTATGCAGCCCTTGTCCCTAAAGCATTAGTGCGGGGTTTATTAGTACACATGTGGGCAGGCACCTACGCTGCCTCGTGCTTTAATGCAGTACGTGAACCACCTCTTTATATGCTAATGCACTAACATGATGCGCTTCAAAGCTGTGCAGAGAAACTTATTTAGTCCTAGAAATGGAGTAGCTGCGTTTTGCGCAGTGGTGTTGGTGGGGCTGACTAGTATCACGCTGAGTGCTGCTGAGGTGACCAAGTCTTAGTGTGGTTTTTATCACAGCTTTTATGGATTTGGCTCGATCTGTGTGGAGTGATGAGCTGGTTGTGTAATCATAACCCTTCTGGAGGCTTGGGTAGTAAGGTGGAAGAGGAGGGTTAAGAGGTTACTAGAAGCTGACGAGGAAAGATACTGTTGCAGTTTGCTTTAGATAGTTTTCTGCAGTCGCATTTAGTCCCTCTTTTTTGCTGCTGTTATTCTCTGATATGACAGGTTCTTTTAAACTAAAACCTCCTGAGCCGTCACCACTCTCGCCTTTGTGCTGTGACAGTGCCAGTTCTAGGATTTGTCAGAGAAGAACGAGTTTGCAATGACTGAAGGATCCTGTTGCGATAAAAGTTGAGCGTTAGCCCTGGGATTAATGAGGCTCCTACTTGGCACCTGTTTTATGTCATGTAGATTAAAAAGGGTACCTCTGAATGAAACGTGTACTTTCCTCAGACGTTATTGGCAAGTTGCAGGACAGGAGAGTGTCTGGACAGGAGACTCCAGACAGCTGGAGTCTAATTACTGCCAGTCTTGGCCTGTGCAGACTGTCATTTGTACTGGATATCACTCAGGTTGTAAAAAAAAAAAAAAAAAAAAAAAAAAGCCAAAAAAAACAAAACCAAACAAACCTGCAGATTAGCAGGGCTCAGGAGAAGAGGCAGTACCTGGAGGTACACGCGTGCGCAGTCACAAGGTGTGTGTGTAGAAAGGGCGGTGCTTGGCTTCTGGCCTGGTCTTGGCTGTTTAATGACCACGGATTGACTGTCCTGCCTTGGTGAGTACACACTCGGCAGGTGTACCCTGCGTGAGGATTAAGGACAAAGCCACCACTGGCAGTGTTATGCAGTGTTAAAATAGGCTGTCGGTGGATTAATGAATTCTGGCTTGTGGCTTCTTCCTGTGCATTTTAATAAGTATGGTAGTGTTTAATATCCTAACAAAGAGTTTAGTGTGGAAAAAATCCTGATGGCCTGGAGCAGCTGAACTCCTTAAAGCTATAAATTCTGACATCGGAATGTATCCAAATGGACTTTCACTGCCAACTTTTTTACAAAAAGCATGTTATCTTTTCTGTTCAGGGGAAATCTTTAACTGGTGTCATGAGGCTGAGGTAGATGACACTGGAGTGGTGGGGGAAGGTGTTTTTCTTTTTTGTGTGTCAGTCTTGTCAGCATGTGTTTGATTTTCTTTTTTAGGGAGTTTCAAGGCAGCTGATAGCGGGAAGATTCTCAAACGCTTCTCAGAGAATGAAAAGGAATGTTTTGAGCGATTGATGAAAGACCCGCTACGCTCCTGTGTCCCTTGCTTCCACGGTGTGGTGGAGAGAGATGGCGAGAGCTACATTCAGCTGGATGACTTGCTTACTGATTTTGAAGGGCCTTGTGTGATGGACTGCAAGATGGGGATCAGGTAGGGTACATGAAAGAGAAAGTGCTTTCTAACCCAAACACATTTGAAGGAAGTGGGGGAGGAGAGGGAGGATGTGGTCATGCTCTGTCTGGAGGAGTTTGGTAACATTTTTGGAGTCTTTGGATTCAGTCCAGACAACCTATTGTTGGTTTGGCAATTGCCTTGGACAACCTGAGGAGAGAATGTCCCATTGTTGCCTGATTGTACATGGATTCTGGAAACTTAACTGATCTATATCCTCAAAAACTATCCACATCAAGAAATTTTCAGGGGTGATTTAAGACCAAGTTTCGTTTCTCTGCAGTGGCCTGATAATATGTGGAAAAAAAATTACATAAATCATTCACTGCCAGTTCATTTAATCTTTGTGTATGCAGTGATTCAAAAAACCTCACAACAAGTAAAATTCCCATCTCCAGATGTGAATGACTGAACAGTAGTGTGAAAGCCCATTTCCAGCGCTTGAATGAGTGTTCAGTGGTATTGATCTTTTCTGTAAAGAAAAGAGTTGACTATCTGCTCAGGAGTGACCTGTGTTTTTCCTACTCTGAATCTCCACGATGCTCTCACCTTGTTCTCCAGATTCTCAATTTCTTTTCCTTTTCTTGTCTGTGATTGAGGAAAACCTCAGAAATGTTATCTGTGCATAACAAATAGATAAGGAATCTGTTGAGAGCCTGGAGTAACAGTATAGAGAGGTATGAACTGTCATAGTCTTTTTGGGTGCCAGCTCAGATGCTGAAGAGTCATTGTCATAAATGAGTTATTCGACTTACAGGAGTGCAGATAAGCCTTTTCAAATAGACGCAGAGTCTTGAATGAATTGTCATCAAAATTAGAGTAGAAATGTGTAGCACTGGTATGCCCAGAAGAAAGAGGAGAAGGATTTGCAGCAGTACATATTTTATTCAAAGTGGGTGACGTTTTGGTAATGAGTGACAGCATCTCCTTAACACCAGCTTGGTTTATTACACTGTGAAGAAGAGTGTACACTCTGGGTGCCTAACAAAGTGCAAGCTCTGTGGAGAGAGACAAGGTGTAGTAGTCCAGTAGGATGTAGAGAACGTGGATAGTGCCTTTCTAATGGTTACCAGATCAGTGGGTTGAGTGATAATAGCAAAGTGTGGAAGGTTTGTCACCCTTCACCTTCCTATTCTTAGTTACCTCTCCTGGTTTAGAACTGCTCAGATAATCTACTTTACTCTTTAATTTTTACTATATGAAGAGTGATTCTGTCTCTTACTGTCTGATGCATTAAGTAAAACCTTAATTGCTTTCTGAGGTCTAAAAAAAAATCAGACATGACTGATGTTAGTTTTTTTTGAGGAGAGAGGAAAGAGTAAGACTTCAGCAGCCCTATTTGCTTTTGATTTCATTGTAACTGATCTCTCCTAACTGTCCTCTGAAAATACAGCTCTATTGCATGGCACGGTAGGAATTTAGATTTCTCCCATTCTGTAAGCAGGACATAGCAATAACATGTAACAGTAAGTGAAGGTATGGTTAGAACAGGAAGTGAATGACACAATTCCCAATTCCTGCGACTGTTTCACTAAACGTGCCTCTGCAGTCATTAGTCTGTGTTCGTTAGTTTGCCCATATGCAAAGCTGCGGTCATGATAACACTTGCTTTCCTGGTTGATGTTTCTTGAGGCCAGTTTATAAGTTGTAAAAAGAAGTATTTGGAGAGTAATTACAGTTTTGTTGGGATGTGATGTTTTTGCAGGACGTATCTGGAGGAAGAGTTGACTAAGGCTCGTGAGAAACCAAAGCTGCGTAAGGACATGTACAAGAAAATGATTGAAGTGGATCCTCTGGCTCCCACGGCTGAAGAGAATGCCCAGCATGCTGTCACCAAACCCCGATATATGCAGTGGAGGGAAACCATCAGCTCTAGTGCCAACCTGGGCTTCAGGATTGAAGGGATTAAGGTAATAGTTTCAATTCTGCATGTTCTTGGAGACCAAACTTTGTTTGATTTGTTGATTAATCAAAAAGCTAGTGCACATCAGTAGCCAGGTTTTCCAAAGGATTATGTGAAAATGCACTGATTGAAACCAGAGTTCAGTGTATTGTGGTTTTAAAGCATCCGTTGTAATTATAACAGAGTAGTGTCAGTGAAGTTAAGCATCTAATGCACATCAGCCATACTTAGTTTAACCACAGAGACACTGCAGGAAGGACTCAAGCAGGTACACAGTGTAGATAGAATGAAAATGAGACTGTTATAAGGAAGAATTCAGAACTGAAGAAATAACTGTCTCATGCAATTACTTTTTTTCATCCAGTAACTATACATACTTAATCCAAGTGAATTTCAGTAAAATGTTTTTGTTTCACTTACGTTTATTTGCAAGGCATGTTAAAAGCATTAGCTTAGGTATTCTTGGGATCAGTGAAACCCCTTTTTCTTTTAAGTACATGACAATATCTGGTATAGATGGAGCTGGAATGAAGCCAAAACAACCAAGAATAAAATTTCTCCATCAACAAAGTCCATCTGCTGTTCTTAATGGAGAAGTTTGTGCCCCTATACCATTCCTAGGATACTACCTTACAGCCACAAAAGAACGAATTTTCTTTCCTACCCATTAATTCTTTGTTGTGTCCCATGGCAATGTCAGATACCTACTCAGAAACCCATTAGGACCCTACTCTCAGAATATCAGCCACCTGACTTAGTTACTTGAATGTTGACACTTGGTGCAATCCAGAAGTGAGCTTTCTGCTTACATAGGCCCGGCACAGCTAGCCTTAAACTGGTTTGCTAGGGTTTAGATAGTGGTGTACCTGTACCAGCACAGAGCATGGTGAGGGCTGCCCAAACCCACCTGCGCCCTGGATGGGTACTTGTTACCTGAAGCCCATGACAGGACAGCTGTGAAGAAGTTAACATGGGTTACCTTGTACGGTTTCAGGGCGTTCCCAGAGCATATATATATAATTTTTGTATGTTAGGACATTTTAAATTATAACCTGGGTCAGTTTTGCTTTTATTTCGTAGTTCAAGCACATGGGAAGAAGAAAGGGTTAAAAGAGTGACGCTGACAAGCAGAGACTCTTTAAACACCCCTTTCTTCTCTGCTTCCCTATGTTGTCTTCTCCCTTCCTCATTCACAGATTCTGCTGCTCTGGTACAGGAACTAGGGCTTCCAGCTCATGCTGTGCTGGCCCCTTGTACACTGTGCCGCCCACTCCTGGCTGTTAGACACAGGCATCCTCGTGCATGGAGCTGTCTGGGTAGTAGATCATCTGGCTCCCGTCCAGCCAAGACACTTCCTGTCTTACCCTTTAGCCGTCTAATGATGTTATCAAGGTACCTGTTTTATTCCTAAACCACTTAGGTCTTTGGATGCTCTGTGTAATGGAAACAGAAACCCAGATTATTTCAAGACCTTTTGGAAGGTCTTGGAAAGATAGTTGGTCAGTGTAGAAGTCTTACAGATTTATGTCAGGTCTTGGAGAGTGACTGAGCTAAGGGAGCACAGCGGATCTCCAGTAAAACATCCTGACTTGTTCTTTGTGGTTTGGCTGATTATCAGAGGTGGGTAGGAGCAGTATGGCACATGGACTGCGTGATATTTCCTTCTGTGGAGACAATGCTGTAACTGTACAAAACAAGGCATAAATACTTAATCTTTTATTAAGCACCTGACATGCTTAATAAAGCACTCCAGTACATTACCTTTTCCTCTGTCTTCCTGTGCTGTTATGAGGGACATAGGTATCATTCTTTTATTTTTTTACATGGAGAAATGGTGACGGAAGTGAGTTGTTCAAGCAATACAGCTAGTCCATACTCCTCGCACTGTTTCACTGTAGCTGAACTGTACATCCAGTTCTGTGTATTTGCAGAGGAGCGAAGCCGTGCTGCAGAGATCCCTATTTTGAGTGAGGATCAGTGGTGCCAGATAGTGGTTGGTGGGGAAAAGGGATTGTTTTCCCCAAGTACTCTGGCAACTCCAGGAGTTAGCTGAGCACATATGTTGGGTTTGGTCATTCAGAAATATTACTCCCTGGTTGCTGCTGGAGTAAGAAGTGGAAGCAAAGAAACTTAAAACACAGAAGCCCTTCTGTGAAGTGGCTGCCAATAAATGAGATCTGATTCACCATATGCACTCCTCCTTTATCAGTGGGGTGCCTTTTCTCTTTAGGTTGATCCATCTCTTTTCCTTGCCTTGCTTCCATATCTCTGAAATCAAGACAGGTTCATTTATGTGATTTGTCCCTCTTCCCAGTAGCAAAAATAGGTCGAACTGTGGAATTTCCTTACAGCTGGCACCTGACACTGTCTCTTTTGCCTGCCAGATTCAGAATGCAAGTTTCCTCTCTGGAAGGGGCTGTCTGAAGGGCAGGCATCACAAACATTGTCTCTACAATACTAAACTAATAGTTTTGCAGAGCAGAGGTGCATGGGGCTGAGAATCAGCAGTTCTGGATTCCCACTCTCACTGAATCTCTGTGCAGATTGGGAAGTTACTTCTTCCTTTGGTACCATTCCTTTAGCTGTAGATTAAGGATAGCCATTTTCCCAGGAGCACGTCAGACGTGATACATAAATCTTTGTGAATCTGTTTAGGTCATGACCTTAACCCAGAACCCTTTAAGGGAAGTCTGCAGAGGAATCTGAGCAAGACCACACAGGTTAAGATAGGTAGCACTATTTTATGGAGTGGCCAAACCTGCCCTCCAGCTAGCCATGTCAGTTACATCTCATGAGGAGTGCTGAAAGTGGCCCGCTAGCTGCACTGTGAAACGGACTGCTCTGCTGTGCAGGAGGCCCTGACAAAGGTATGACTTCAAGGAGTGAGTCAGGCAAGTGCCTCCTGGGGATCAGGTACATCCAGAGTTGTTGCAAGCACCTGATATAGAATATGAGGGATAGTGCCATTTCAAATCTGGATGTATTTTACAGCAGGTAAAGACAGGCAGCAGTTATGTTTCCTGCCAACCACTGCAAAGGAACAAAATCATAAAAGTGTTTCTAAACAACAGGGAAGCAAGCAACTAGTCTGTCCAGACAAAAGAGGGAAAGCACAGCAGCTATTTCAGACTTTGCTCTGGGATTTGGGGCATGGAGAGAAATTATTTTTAAAACAACCTTACTCCAGTGAAGAGGTACGAGGCATCGGACTAAATTCTAAATTGTCGTACATCAGATGGCTCCTAACTTTCACTGCC